GACATGATGTTCAGTTCTTACATGTGGAGACGCTGCGAACGAACCAGACAGCATCACGTATGCTGCCATTGAGATAAAGAAGAAAGGTATTTTTATTGTCTAAGCAGATGTGTGGTGCAGACACCGTGACATTAGCTCAGCTTCACAGGCTAACTTTGACAAGAATTATTTTCAGACAGATGTATCGATCGCACCAGGAGTAATTTTACCTCATCAGTTAAAAACAAACACCATCAAACCACAGGTTGCAACACGAGGCTCAGATAGACAACAATAGAAATCAACCTGACATTAAACAGAAAAACAAAGCTGCTGTTTCACTGAATGAACTGTCTCTAACTCTGCATCCATTTCTTCACAAATACTGGCAATAAAAACACAAACAGCTTCAACTGTATCAGAAATAATTGATGCCAAAAGCTGATAAACTTTCCAAAAGAAAGCTGAAATAAAATCTTCCACTTACTTGCAGTTTTCTAATGAATTTCTGTTTTTTCTTCATCAGGGTCAAAGGTTTCCTCAGCTGCCACCAAAGGAAGTCCATCAGAGCAGCAGTCAGTTTACTCTTCAGTCGCCTTTAAAACTTAAATTAGTTATTTTATGGAGCTAATCTCAGCTCAGACTGTTGGTTTTTTTAGTCAATGATAGAAGAGTCTCTGACATTTTGTCATAACTTAAAATGGACAAATACAACAAAGCAATAATAAACATGACACCTTAAAAACGTTATCTGTGTTTATGTTGTTTATAGAAATTTAAAACATGTTTTTAGGACTTATTATCTTTCTCTTTCAGACTTTTGCATGTAGTATTTTCTATTTTTATGATGTTCTTGCCTCTTTTGTTGTCACGTCTTTCTGATTTTCATCAGAGCAAAGCAGCTACTGCTTTTTAAATAAACTCACTGTGATGGTCTTTAACATCTCACTATTATTACTCTACATGTGTTTAAAATTAGATAAACTAACAATACCTGACAGCATCTTCATAGATCTATCAACAGACCTCTGCACTGAGTTTCTAACACACAAGGAATCTAAACATGAATAACAACAACAATAAAGACAAACTAAACAAACTGAGAACATGGCTGAAATAACAAGAAAGGACTTAAAAAAAACATGAAAACCTGATCTCTGCAGAAGATCCGATTCTTTACTTCTTTGTTTGCTGCTGCATGATGACAGATTTATTGTTCTGTGTCAAACTCATCAGTTGTTTTAGTTTCATGTCAAACTCACATACTTGAAGTCAAAAGCTTTTATCTGGACGTCCTGGTACCTTTAGAGAGTTTATATCAATATTAACTCCTTCATGTCTTCTCTCTGATTCAGACTGAGGTCAGTCTGGTCTCTGCAGTCATGAATCACATTCAGAGCTGAGATAATCTAAACCCTGTCAAATAAAACTATCATGTTAAACTAGCGCCATCTGGTGTCCAAACACCAAAATATGAATTTACATCTTAAAAAAAAACTCAAACCAGCATAAAATGAAATAAATTATGTTTGTCTCCTGATGCTGTTGTCATGACAACAATAAAAAAAACATGACAAGGTGTTTGATCTACTTTATCAATATCCTGCAAACAAGAGTAGTAATTTTACTGCTTTGCATATTTTTATATAGAAAGAAAAATAATTAAAGGCAGAAATAAATTTTGGTTGGGCTTTCAAATGTAAAGAGTTACACCGTGGTGTTGGGTTTTTGTCATTTTCTGTTGTCTCAGCCCTCAGTTTGCTGCTCATACTAAGTCTGGTTAAGTAGGAGTTGTTCCTCTCCACTGTTGCCACATGCTTGTACAAGAGGAAATGGAATGGCTGGATGTTTTTAAGTGGATATTTTTAAAAATTATTTTCCAATGAATAATAAATTGTTCTGTATTGTTTGATTATATGCATTATATTTGAACTGGATTGATGTATAGAAGGGAAACCTAACCTGCATAAGTGCCTTGAGATTATATTTGTGAATAGTGAAAAATGAGTTCAAGGATTTCTGATTATTATTATTATCATTATTATTATTATTATTATTATTATTATTATTATTATTATTATTATTATTATTATTATTATTATTTGCGGTACAATTAAACAAGTTTCTAATTTTTATTTTAATAATAAAAATCCTAATGTGTTCATATCTGCCATCTGTGGTTGGATCTCTTCTTATTCTGTCATTTCTGTAACATCAGTTTCTGTTTTCCTGTAAATGAAATAAAAAAATGCACTTATAAACTCTTTAAGTTAAAATTTAGTTTTTATTTTCTGTCATTACAATTTATGATTAACTTGATAGTTGTTGGTCTATCAAGAAGAAATTAAATTTATAACCATCCCTAATCATTTTCTTGACACAAACCAGTTTTCCTTTAGTGAATAAAAATCAACAGGCCAGTGGTGATGCAATGTGGACTAATGACCACTAGATGGCAGAAAAGACTGAACCATAAGAAGCCAGAGTCAGTAAATATCCTGCATATATTCAGCTGGGCTATTACTTCATACCAACCAGTAGGGGGCGACAAAACATCGCCTTCTAGTTGTCAGATATTTATTAAAGATCCAGTTAACTGTTGCATAAGTTATAAATAAAGAATATTTGGGAGATTAACAGACTTTCATACAGTTAGACAAAAAATAAAATAAAATAAAATAACCCAAACTGTGACAAACAAGTCTAGATGAAAATTAAAGTTATATACAGATAGGAAGATTGTAGACTAAACGGGTTTTTAGCATATAAATTTGACTAACCAGAAAAAACCTCTGTTAATATTTTTAACACAAATATATTAAGTTCTGTTGCAGATCCATAACAGAACCTGAGTATCTGTGTGTTTCATTAAAATAAAGTTGATTCTACATCATTATCTCAGTATTTCTCCCTGTTTCTCTGCTGCTCTGTGTAAGTCAAACAGGAAGAGGAAGTTCTGCGCTGCATATGATCTGGGTTTACATGTGAGACTCGTTCAGTCAGCATCAAGCATCAGTCATGGAGGTCACAGCTCTCTGCATGCAAATCTGTGAGTAAAGATATATTATTTATTTATTTCTGACATATATCTATATTTTGAGTTTGGATCTGAAGCTTTTCTCATGTTTCTACAGTCATGAACATGTTTGTGTTGCTGTTGACAAAACCTGATCTGAGTTACACTGATCAGAAACCTGGTGAGTTGGAAACTGATTTGTTTTATGCATTTATTTAGAGAAAAAATTTATGTTTTTTAGATTTAATTCAAATAATTTTAAACTGCTTACAAACAAATCCATCAGCAATTTTATTAACTTTATCACCAGCTGATGAAAAATAAGTTTTAATTGTTTCTCAAGGATTTATGTTAAAGTTCATCAATTAATTTCTGTGTTTTTATCATTGCAGTTTTTCCTCTTATCTCTCCAGACAGACTTCAGTTCTTTGAGTATGAGTCTGTCTCTGTAAGCTGTGAGGCAGACAAAGAAGTGAAAGCTTGGAGAGTGAGGAGAAAACTTCACAAAATGAGTTCAGCAAATGATTCTGACGCCTGCAGCGTCCCAGCTGCATCCTGCAGCATCCAGTACGCTTTTGAGAGCCACAGTGGAGAATACTGGTGTGAAAACCATGAAGGGGAAAAGAGCCGGGCTCTCAACATCTCTGTTACAGGTCTGAATGTTCACAATGAAGTCTTAAAAAGTTATTTAAATTAAATAAATAATGTTCTTTTAGATAATGTGCACACATTGTAATATTCTAAGGTTTATTTACAGAACAAAATGATATCAAGATAAATCCTGTCAGAATGTTTGCTGCCTTTATTTTGAATTTAATAACTAAAATCTGACAATGAAAAAACAAAAAACATAAAAATATAAAATAGTAAATATGAATGTAAAAGAGTTATATTTCTTACATCATAGAAACCAGACATTTTGAAGATGTTTGTTAACTTTTCATATCTTCTGAAAATAAACATGTAGATTTTGATTTTGTTATAAATCCAGCAGAAATAGAAATGTAACATGTCAAACTGATCTTCTGCTGTCCATCAGGTGGATCAGTCATCCTGAATGCTTCTGCTCAGCCAGTGAAGGAAGGATCTACTGTGACTCTAAAGTGCATTCAGAAGGATACAGAGGAACCACACTTTAATGATTTCTACAAAGATGGCGTCCGTCTTGGAACCTACTATGAAACTGATATGATGACCTTCACCAAGGTCACCAAGTCAGATGAAGGACTCTATAAATGCACCATTTCCCGAGTTGGAGAGTCTCCTGAAAGCTGGCTGGCTGTTGTCAATCCAAGGTCACCAACAGGAGGTAAGTTTGATACCACTGAATATTATGAGGCTAAAATAACACTTGAAATATTAGAAAATATTCTATTAATCTTTCGGATTAAAATGGAGGCGATTTCTTCCAAAGGAAAAAGGTTTTCAAAGTCTAATCTTAGTTGTAGATTTATGTTCTTAGAGAATCTTTGAAGAACTTACAGTAGAATAATATGTTTCAAAGTTTAGCCTTGTGCAAAACCGCAAACTGAAATATCTTCCATTTCTGGTTTAAACATTTGGTGAAGAGGAAGAGGAGGAAGAGGAGGTGCTCTGTGTACGGAGGCTGTTCGTTCTGGAATCAGCCATCTTGGATTCCTGATGTTGGCTGTCTGCGTCTCTCTCACTGTTCACTGACCTGATATCTTGAATCTTATTTCAGGATCTAATGAAGAGATTCAGCCTTTGACTAATGTGCCGATTATAATCATCATTTTGTTGTCCATCGTTTTCACTCTGCTGTTCTGGGTGGTTGGACTGATTCTCTACAAGAAACACAAAGGTAAACATGGACCATGTACCGATAACTCGCCTCACCATTAAATAATCAGTTTCAGAATCTAAATGTTCCCTCTGTAACATTTACAACATGAGTTTGATCATTTATCTTGATCTAAGTTGAGGAAAAGTTTTTGATGAATTATAAAGAGCAGGTGATGTCAAACATTCATGGGCATGAATCTGATTCTTTTAGGGCTTTTTTAGTGGAAAACTTTAAATTTATTTTGAAAACCATAGGGTAAAAATTATATCTATTGACTCAAATATATATA